CAGGAGGGAGCGCGCATCGCAGCTGGCGGGGCCACGCTCCGGAGGTGCGGAGAAACCTGAACCACGCAGCAGCATCAGGAAATTCCAGGGCTGGATGGGAAGCTGGTACCCAGGAACTTTGGGGTTTGGAAATTAATTTCAGATGGCTCTGAAATTTGCCTCCTAGATAAATAGTCTGCATATTCCAAAATGAGCATGTAATTTAAAACAGTGTGGGGCATTCAGAGAATTAGAAGCCAAAAAAAAAAGTTGGGGAGGGGAGGGGAGTGTGAAGAAAAAAAAAAAAAAAGTTGTTTGAAACTGTTATTTAATGAAGAAAACCAAAGACCAAAGTGTTGACAGGGAAATTCAAGCAGTTATCAAGTCCAAGGGTGTCAATGAAATAATTAAAAGCACACAGTAAGAAATGGCTGTGACAGACGTGGGGTTGCCCTACATACTCTGTGGTACTTTTATATAATAACATCAATATTAGGGTTTGGACTGAGCCAGCACTCACAGGAACTCTATACTGGCCCTTTTATTATTTTAGCTAGAGCACTTCATTAGTGAGGCCGGTTGTTGGTGATGACCTGGGAAGGAAAGCAGTGTTTAACTTTCTGCTGATGCTTAAGCAGAGGAGAGATGCCTTGAAGAAGGGAGCAGAGGGCATGAAAGAAGTTGTAGGGAATTGGAAAGGGACAGGCATGTCCCAGTTTGTTTGCTTGTGGGTAGGGCCGTTCCTGTCCTTGCTCTGTGCTCCTTCGCTGGAGCTTTCTCCATTTTGCTTTTCTCGAGGCCTTTAATTCCACTGGGCTGCACGGGGCTGGCAGCGCTGCCCAAAGCTGAAGGTTTCGTTGTGGTTAGTGAACATGTCCCGGGATCTGTCCCGTCCTCTTGTCACAGCGTCAGCTCCAGAACCTCTCAAAATGGGACCTGAGATGAGACACTTGGTAGTGTCTCCATGGAGGGAGGCCAGGACCGCCATGAGTCCCGGTGCAGGCCTCATCCCGGTAAGGCCCAGCTTTGGGATCTCTGTGCCTGCAGTACCAGGAAGGTTATTTTGGGCTAAGACATCGCTTCCTTGATAGATGGTAACTTTCAGGTGAAATAAATTTATAACCTAACTGTGAATTCTAAGAAACTAAAATCGTATTCAGATGTAAAGGCATTAATAAAATAGCGGAATAGATGGAAGCATCTGGAAAACCCTTGCATTTTTTTTGAGCAAAGCAGGGCGCACAGCTTTAACCTGTGCTGTAAATCATCTAACCCCTCTGGGATTTGAACTTTTATCAATTTCTAAAAATGAGCTTCCAGTCTGTTCTGTATTGATCACCCGCCCCGTGTCAATAATAGCTGCGGTGAAGGTGAGCCCTGCTTGAAATTCACGTTAATGGTGCTCGGGCAGGAAGGAGTGGGGGAGCATGTGTGTGCAGTTGGAGATTTGTTTCAATTTTCCAAGTTAAAATCTTTAAAGAATCATAGGTCGAACTTTATTTGCAGTGTTACTGCTTCACAGGCCTTTGATCTTCTCTGTATTTTACTTTAAGACATTTTTTGTTTTTATTATTATTAAATTATTCATTGGAATTATTTGTCACATTGGTAAGCCTGGTGTGCTTCTACAAGGAAAATTATAAAGTCACTGTAAGACCAGTTTAAATTACTGAAGTAAACATTTAAATCTACGTAATTTCTTTTCTTAAATTTCTACACGACTTTTATTCAAGGGAGGATAATCTTCAGCTAACTTCTGTTGCAGTCACTGTTGAGAACACCGCGTTTGTTCTTACCTGCTTCCTTTGACACCTTAAATGTCAAACAGCGAGTCCTGAAGCAGGTCAAGGGGGCAGCAATATTGGAATGAGGCTTTCGTGGGCATGGGGCAAGTGAGATAAAACCTACGGTGTGGGAGGTGTGGTGCTTCACATACATCTGTCACATGGTAAATACAGCCCGGCAATTTGGTTTATGTGTATTTACAATTGAAAAGACAATTATGCAGTTTTTCAGAAGGGCAAGAAGTATTATTTATATTTTTAACTTTATATTTATTTTACATTTTCATTCCCCTTGAAGAGAAAAAGCCTTTTTTTTTTTTTTTTTTTTTTTTTTTTTTTACTTAGTTAGTTAGAATAAGAGTGTCAGTTTCCTTTCTATGCCTGAGAAAACCCATTAAATGTTGGTTAGGGCAGCAGAGAGCAGTTCTTGTGGACTCCTGTGAGGTAGGTTTGTATCTGTCTGAGGTAAGGAGGAGCTGGGTGATGGAGTCAGGGCTCCTCCCGAAGCTCTGGGAGTTTGGGGAGTTCTCCCATGCGAGCTGATGGCAGAAACCTTGGTGTGGTGCTTACGGCAGTGGAATCGCATGACTACAAATAGAAATAAATATTTAAAAAAATGTATATTTTATAATATCTGTAATGTAAGCATAGATTACATGATGCATTGTATGATATGTAACGCGTTATACATTTGCATGCATATAAATGCATATAAAAATGGGGAATACATCTTCGTATGTATGTGCGTGTCTGCATATATGTATGTTCATTGATCTGCATACTGCTAACAAAATGAACATTATCATGAAGTGGGGTTGAGCAGAGGTTAGATTTCAGATAATCTGTGAAAGGAGTTAATTAATTGTGAATCGTTTCTCCTGGAAGTCCAAGGTGGAGAGCCCTGTGGTAACAAACGTCACCCAAGCAAATCAATGTTTCATTAGCATGTCTATGGGAGATGTCTGTTCTGCTTTGCACATAAAATGAAACAAGAGCTTTCATCTCCCTCTCCCTCTGCCTTTGAGAGGGAATAAGTGGCTTTGTTCATTAAACTCCAAACTTACACTGGTGTACATCCCCCTGTGCTTTTTTCTTTTGCTCTAAAGCTCTCAATCAGTTTAAAAGGAGACAGCCTCCATTAAGAAGGTTCTGCCAGGTGGATGTTTATTTTTATAATGCATTTATTAACGTTTGCCGTATTTTTGGTGTAAAATAAAGGGAAATATTGCTGCGAGGACTGGAACGTTCTTTCCATATTTGTATGTATAATATATGCCTATGGACTTCTGCAAGTTTCTGCAGAAAAGTCAGACTACTTGTAGCTGTGTTTTGCAGAGATGATTTAAGGCACAATTATATGCATCTTGTAGTTATTATACGCGAAACCTGAATTTTGGTAGTGTGATTTCCTACACTTTCCAAGATTAGTTGATAATTTCAAGGAGGAGGGCAGGGGGCAGCAATGTTTGTACAGGTCTGATGAAAATGTTCTTGAAATATGTCAGGTATGTTCCTAACGTGAGCAGGATATCGCAAGAAGGTGTGTGTGGGGGTGTTAAGTCTCTGCTCAGCACACGCTTGTTTTGAAGCTTTTCCAAATGCAATTGATAACACGTTTGTTATAAATACTTGTTACACAACTTGCCCAGCTGATAGATTTTTAACAGCCTAACTCATCTCCTAGTTATTGGAGATGATGAAGCCATAAATATCAATAGCATTATTCATAGTTATCTTACCAAACAGATCCAGAGCAGCTAATTGTACAAAATTAAGACACATCATGTTTGCCTTACTTGCAGTAATGGTCTGTTTGGGCCCCTTTCTGCTTGCTTATCCAGTAGCGAATCAAGTTATACCAGCAGGCATATGCTTCCTTAAAAAATACTGCTTTTGATATAGTGGGATTTGGCCTAATTTTAATCACTTAAGTAAACAGGATGTGACTCTGAGTAGCTTGCTATAATTCCTAGCAGCCATGTTATAAAAGAAACATTTCTTTTTTTTTTTTTTTCTCCATTATTGTTGCGTGCTTCAGCTCATTAACCAGTAATCATTCTGGGTCCATTACCCAGATATTGATATTGTACGCGCTGTTGCCACTTGTCATGACTTTAAATTTTGCGTTACCTGTGTATTTTTTTAAACCCCAGTTTCTGTATTCATGTTATTAATGAGATTCTTAGCTCTTTCTTAAATAAATTCCTAGCCCGCAGGCTCTCAAATGTAGGAATGTAACTCTAAAGCACCCTGGAAGATTAAAAAAGAGAAGGCAAAGAGAGGGAGTCCCAAATCTCATGTTTCTCAGGGTAAAACTCTATTATTTTTAAATCTATTGGTATGGCAATATTTTTCCTCTAACTTGAAGAAACATTAAATATCTGGTTTTGTCTTGCATGCCCGTTTGGTGCAACACATGCTCACTGTGCTTGTAAGGAAGATGAGTGCTGGAGATTGCTAAGAAAGGATTTTTCCTTCTTTTTCTTTATTCTGCTTCTGGGAAGCAAACAAATCCCAGCCCTAGCCAGTAATTTGGACAACACACAGATTTTTCATAGCGAGTTTTCAGATCAGGCCTTGCGTATTTCCAAAAGCAATTGCAAGAGAGCTTTCTTCTTCCAACTGCTGGGCTCCTTGAGCCTTTCTGCGCTAGGTTGCTTTTTAGATTTTCTCACCTGGACACAGGTAACGCCTTAGAAGCAGCCTGGAAAGGTGTTTCTCATGGGTGTGGAGGCACATTTGAAAGCAGTTGGCTGGAATGTCTTGGCGTTGGCTCTTTAAAGAGTGAGGAGCCTCTGATCTGCTTGTGTTTTGATGTCTGGTTTGGCTTGAAATTTTTGCAGCAACAAACAGGGAAATTGCCCTGTTTTGATGCTCTCTTCTGTAGTGTCATCTTCTCCTCTTAGATCACATGCGGTAGGAAATTGTGGGCAAGATCTTCAGCAAATTTGCCTAAATAGTTTTAAATTGGGTAATAGGGATCTCCACTCGATGATATTTGTGTTCTATTTACACGCAGTAATTTCACAGGCTGGTTTCCTGATTGCCTGTTTTCACTGGTTTTACATCAGTGTAACCACAGTTTGGAGTAGTTGCTCCTGATTTTGTATGAATGAGTTGGACTGCTTGGACTTCTTGACAAGAGGCTGCGGTTGAGCCTGTTTATGGTTCAGGAGCAATTCTTCCAGGGGAGTTTCCAGGCTGGGGAATAATAATGTTTGTTCCTGTCCCCAACAGGCACCAGCGACCTGATAATTAGATGGAGAATTGAAGATCTTTGACAGTGCTGCTAATCAACATCTCAGTGCTGGCTTTCTACTCTGCCTGACCAAAAAAAAGGACGTGTGCTTATCGACTGCAGGGGTGTCCGTGTGATTGTAACCATGTAAGTTCACAAACAAGGACTGTAATTAACCATGACTGTATTATTGGATATGTGCATGTGTAATTAACAAAGCAGATATTTTTGTGTATGTGGCTCTGCTCACTTGTTCATGAAAACTCTCCACTATTTTCATCAGAATATTAAGGTTAATTAAAATTAATTCTGTTTGTATTGACTGCCTTTTCACTTCTGCAAAGTTTGTGCAAATCAAATGTGTGGCTAGGGCCGCCTTCCCTATAAAATCCATAAAGTTTGCTTTCAGAGCTGGGGGAAAGAGGAATCAAAATTGCAGGCTGTTTGAAATTTAAATCAGAGCAATGCTGGTCAATAGCATCAAGGTTATAATGCCCTGCGAGATTCTGATTGGGCATTGCCAGGTGCATGCCGGGTGACAAGGACATTAAAGGCCAGTTGAATGGAATCTTAGGATTTATGTTCTTTCAGTTTGGATTGAATGCTGGGGTTCCTGGCTGAAAAATCATGGAAAGCCATGATCTCTTTTCATAAAGTAGAATTATATAGGTTCGTTTTTTGGATGATGTTCCGCCTGTGTAGAGGGAGAGCACGAGACCGCTGTTTGTACTCTGCTAATGCCAGAATTCCCCAGCTGAGATGAGAACTTTCTCATATTAACCACTGAACGAGTATGTAGCAAGATACAGAGGTTGTCCTGAAGAGTTTGCAATCTTAGTAAATGGCACTGATGCACTACGTGAGAAGGGAATTGTATGCATGACTTGTGGTCATGTTGCGAGCTACAAACACTACAGTGGGCTCTCCCGAGAGCTGGCAGTAAACCCAGTATTCCTGACACCCTGTCTGCACTCCTTCCAGTGCTTTCCCGGCTTCTGTGTTTCTAGAAGATGATTAAGTGGGTTACAGGCTGAATAGACTGAGCTCTCTTTCGATCAATCAGTGAGAGCTCTCATTAATTTTAATCTGAAGTAAACGGCAGTATAGCAGTTTCTATGTTTTTGATAATATATTACATTACTTTTTGATGTTTCTATTTCTTTTTAAATCTAGGAAAGCCTGGGTTCCATTTTAGAACCTTTGACAGATACAGAGATTGAAGGGGATTATTGGACAAGGAGTAATGGCTTTAAAAGAGGGTAGATTTAGATTAAAGAATTTCTTCCTTATATCTGCTTGGAGGGTGGTGAGGCACTGGAACAGAATTCCCAGAGAAGCTGTGGATGCTCCATCCCTGGAGGTGTTCAAGGCCAGGTTGGATGGGGCTTTTTGTAACTTGGTCTGGTTGAAGATGTCCCTGCCCACAGCAAAGGGCTGGAACTAGATGATCTTTAAGGTCCCTTCCAACCCACACCATCCTATGATAGGAAATGGAAGGGGAGCTTGGAGAGTTTATCTGGGTGTTGCTCCTTAAATACTCAACTATTTCAGCTGTTACGCATGTTGCTTGAACAGGTCCACAAGCTTGCCAGAGCCTTCAGGTGGATTTGGCGCTGCCTCTTCCTTAAAGTGACCTCTTCATAAAGAGATTTTGAGCTACAGAAGCTGTGTTTGATTAGGCTGCAAACTAAGACAATCACAGAATGGGTTGGGTTGGAAGGGACCTTAATCACCTAATTCCAGCCCTTTGTCCTGGACAGAGATAGGTAAGAGTCTTTGTAACAGGGGAAAAAGTCAGATTAACAAATACGAATTGAGGTTAGAATGTAATATAACAAGGCTGACATTAAACACCTCCCCGTTTCCCCTCTCACATGAATAGACATTCTGTTTCAGGTTTGCTTGGATTTCAGCAGTTTGCTGACATTCTGGATGACGACAAAGTCATTGCACTCCTGCCTAAGTACCTAGGAAAATGATTTCCCTCTGAGGACCCCTGTGTCTTTCTCCTAGTTCCTCCTTGCTTTGTTGCTGTCCTTCCTTGCCTGCAGGCTCCTGGCTGCTGGTAGGTCTTGTTCTCTCCATCCCTCCCTCCCTGCGCTCCTTGAGTGAGACCCGTGCGGCATCGTCCCACGGAGCTCAGAGGGACCCACCTGGTCTGCGGGGACACGCTGCCTGCCAGCTGCCCAGCCGGAAGGAGGGAGAACATTGTGTACAGTCAGGTGCAAATACCCCAAACTAATGCTGTCCAGAACATTTGCCACTTAACTTCTCAATCTTTGAACCTCGTGATTAACGCGTGGAGAGGATATAGGTGGTTCGCAGTTCTCGCAGCTATTGTTGCAGACTGTCTGCAGGCTCAGGAGTACACTTCTATGTGGCCTTACTCTTGATTTATGTTCCTTTGGTTTATTCCCTAGGGAGGGAAATCTCTACAGGGTGTAAATCAGACTTTTTTTTTTTTTTTTTTGCAAGGCTCTGGCTCGTAATTCTTTCAAGTGTAAATCTGAACATAATTCTGCAACAAGGTTGGGGTCTATAGCTAATCACGTAGCTACGGGCTTTATATCTCTGTAAAGCTTTAGGCCATTTCTGTAGAAATATACAGATCATCTTCCAAAGAATAAAATAGTAATGTCCTACATCATCCAGTTCATTTTTCCATAAGCCCTTGTAAAGGTGAACATATTTCGGTTTGTTTATATAACAGTTGTATCATTTAAAAAGTAGGAAAGTGAAATGTGGGGAGATTTTTTTTTTTTTCCCATTAGAGCTGAATTTTAATCTGCTTCCTTGACAAATGTACTTGATGCTGATGGTATTTTTCCATTCCTGTCTGCTCCCAGTAAGACTGAACTATATGCTTCTGTCTGTCTTGGCTCTGATAATGTTTTTGTACTAACATAACATAATGCCATACAATTAGAAATTATATGTTAGCTGTTAGTCATAGCCCAGTGAGTTTACATTAGACAAAAGAAATTAAATGGGAACCAGAGGAGACCTAGTAAGCGCAGTTTATGTTTTTTTTTTATATTCAGAAATATCACATTTCTATTGATGAGCATCATTTATGTCTGTATGGGGGAAACTAACTGTGCTACAGGCAAAAGAATTCGTGGTCATTTCTTCACATTCAGATCATGCACAGTTTGTAAATGCAAAGTTAAGATGGTTTTTCCTCTGTCTGGGAATTGATGAGTTGCTTTGAGAATTTTATTCACTCCCTGAAAGGAAATAGAATTATTTTCAGTTGTGATTCTCTGTAACACTAAATGATACCTTGTACATTGTTTTTTTCTGGGGAGGGAGAATTCAGACCCTACTGCGGCTCTCCACTCCCTGTGTGGGGTCCTGCTGGGGGCCTCAGGACTGGCTTTGCACAGTCAGACCAGCAATGCCCCTGGTCCACATCCTGCATCAGCTGGCAATGGTGCCTCTCACTGCAGGGGATTTGAGGGAACCTGGTGTACGGAGAGCTTCCCTGTTTCAGTGGAGACTGGCTTAGGTCCTTGAAACAACAACTAAGTATGTTTGCCATATTTCAGGTACTTTCTCAGTCCTACTGTTTCTTGAGCCTTTTGGGATATTTGCTTCTAAATTCTTGCTTCATCCATCTGCTCTGGAGTGAAAATATAATGCACAGAGCTTACGTGCTCTTACACTTCATTCAACTGCTCACCAACAGTGCTTGGTTACAGTTCTTGATGCTTTGCAGCATCCCTTCTGTTCCAGGCCTGACAATTCCTATCACTTAGTTAATGTGGCTTCTTTGAAACATGAAACACCTGGAGGATTTCAAATAAAGGTCAACATAGAGCTCTCTTATGAGGCTTAAGCCACAGCATGCAACACCAGCAGTACTTGCTATTCCACTGTAGGAGGAGACAAACAGTGCGGGTTCTGATGAGGTGGGTAAATAAACACCTGTGCAACTGAAAACTAATTAATTCACTTCAAACCATGCCACTCAACCGGGAACAAATCCAAGTCTCTAGACTTCAAGGCCGAGCACTAACACTTTAGCTGTCCCCTTTCCTTTTGCTGCTTCATTCTTCAGGGTTGTTCAAAGCAGTCCTGTTTTGATCTGCTTCTTCTGTATGTCTGTGCAGAACTGAGAAATGTGAGGTTTTTAGTAAAAGGGATGGCTTGTTGTGGGACCGTATCATACTTTGTGGAATTAAAACCAAGTGCCAGTTTACTGCTAATGACACTATTTTAACATGTAGGTTGTGCTAAGTCAGGCCTCCTGTTTTACATTTGTGGAAAGTTTCGTTACAGTTTCTCCAGAATTTACCACAACTATGAAATGTTTCTAGTAAGGGATTTTTCTGCCTAGTGCTAAGTGCCCATTGTGGTGCCCATCCTCATTTTTGGAGGTGGCATGAGGATCCACCTGTTAAGAGGATTTTTTTGCTCAGCTTCCCTTAGTATTCTCTCTTTCTGACCTGCAGTTGAATGAATTTCTCTATTTTATAGAATTTGTGTTTCCTTTATACCTTCATGTCTTCACAATATCCTTGCCTGTGTAAGAAGTCTTGGAAGATTAGATTTCATTGATCATTAAGCATATTCGTGATGTCTTAAACTAAAATAAATTGTCCTGCCTTTTTGGCTGAGGTTTCCAAAGTTACCAGTGAAGCCTTAGATTAGATACAGCTGTTACAACAGAGCACCAAAACTGTTTGAATGATTTGGAGAATCTCTGTTCTTACATTTATCTTGTGTTTCTTTTTTTCTGTGATATTTGCGCAATATTAATTTGGATTGGTAGTAATTGCTGACAGAGCTTTCTTAGACTAGGAAGGTAAGAGTGAGAGAGAAATCTAGCTTGCTTTTTTTCTTTTTTTTTTCTTTTTTCCCCTTCTTGACTTAATTTATTCCTGCCAGAATAATTTTGCTGCTAAAACTTGTGTGGGTTTAGTCGTCTTGCTTCCAGACCTCATTGTGTGCTTTAGAAACACAAAGGTGACAGCCTTGCAGTGTCATTTAACCAGATTTTCCATGTCAAAAGGGGGAAAAGAAAATGAAGGGATGCTATAAGCACAGATGCTTTTCATTTCAGCTTTTACTGTTTTCATGTCCTAAAAGGTGTCCGTGTGTTTGTATACAGTCACCTTTACCTTGGCGTGTGCTGGCAGGCTTGT